TTCCCCATGCTGGCTGGGGAATTCTGGGAGTTGAAGTCCACCCGTCTTCAAGTTGCCAAGGCTGAGAAACACTGCTCTAAGCATTCCGGTTAAACAGCAGCGTCAAACTGCCTTGAAAGAAATCTGAAGAGCATAGGAGCTTCAGGTCAAAAACCAGACCAACGCCTAGCAGAACGGATAGATTTTCCCAGACGATTGAATTCTCTTTTTCCCCACTCCTGACAAGTGTCTGTTGTTGAACCATGGCTGAAAGGCTGGATTTAGCAGCAGCAGTGATTCCTGGAGGCAATTCTCACGGTACCCACCACTGGAATGTTCTCTTTATCAAGGCATTAGAGAGATGCCACATGCACGGAGCCCTAAATTGGAATTCTCCATATTGACTCAGACAGCCCTATCTGTCGCAAGGATCTCGTGCCGAACAAAGCCAAGCTTTTTATTTCTTCGCAAGTGCTCTGAACAACCTGCTCCGTGGTTGCCTCTCTGTCCTCTTGTCTCTTGGAGTAAATAAAACTCTCAGCTTCCTTTATTACATTGTAAAATTATTTATTAAAAGCCCCGTCTTTCATTTGATCCTTTGCATTCTGTGCCAAAATCTATCCCGATGCTGAGAGGTGGCGTTTTGCTGAATTTATGACCCGTGCTGGCACATGATTCTCCGCGGTGGATTTTTAGAGGAGAAATTACCTGCTCTGTCACGAGGTTGCCCTCCTAAAATGTGGCCGTGTTTCCAGCCCCCGCCCACGGCCTCATCCTTGGGGGCTTGCCAAACACCATGATCAGACAATAGGCAACAGAGAACGTATTAATCACTGTCATTGGTGCTCAGAACCCAATACCTTTCTCCCCTGAAATTTATGGGCAGGCAAGTTTAGAGACATGCGAATCAGAGGAACTGAGGTTTTTCTACTAGTGGAAGGTCTCTGCATCAAGAACATGCAAGGGAGCACGAGAGGAAAAAGGGGCTCCAGGCCCTTTCTTTCAAGCCAAAGGAAAAGTTATCAGGGATTTTAGAAAGCATTTCATGGGCCTGTGGTATCTATCTATCTATCTATCTATCTATCTATCTATCTATCTATCTATCTATCTATCTATCTATCTATCTATTTGAAAAACTGATATAGCCACCTATGTTATCTATAAAGTCTGGGCAGATAACAACAGCAAGCAATAAGATCGGTTCTTCCTTTGATGATTTTCCACAGAATAAAATCTCAGCTCCAAGGTAATCAAAGTTTAAACCAGACCTGTGAAGTTGTCTTATACTGGATCAGACTTTTATGAATGGTTAGCTCAGGGACGCCCGTTCTTAATATCTCTATGGGCTCCATCACTAGTTGCTTCCTGTATGTCTTGTCTCATAAACCTAAGATGGCCATGATTGAATCTAGCCTGTTTAGCAAGGCTCTGTAGGAAAAGTTTATTTCTGGAGCCTGCGAGAGAAAAAATACTGCCTATACCAGTTCTAGCTTTCTGCAGGTATCAGCTGTTCCATCCAACAGGAATTCTGTAGCCCAGCATTTTCCCCTCAGCTCCTGCCTCTTTCAACTGGAGATGCCAGGGTTCTTCTGCCCCCAAGGCCACTCTCTGCCACCTGTCCCTCCCCAAAGAAGGAGATCCAAAGCTAGCAATTTCCAGCCCAGCACAACAGATTCCTGGAGGGCAGTCAGTTGTGTAACAGCAAGTGAGGAGTTGGGCACGCTAATGGCACCCATTATTTGAATTAAAGCAGGTGGTAAATCTCAGCTCGGAGGTGGCCTCCACAGCAGCCACTCAGGGAATGTTCCTATGAAATGATCAGTGGTGATCACCAAACCCTCTCTTTCCTTGCTGCTTTTGTAGATGAAGGTGTGTGGGACCTGTTTGTGAAAAACATCCCGCGCACTGCCACGTCCTACACAGTCAGCCTGGACAAGCTTAAAGAAGGCATAAGCTATCAGTTCCGGGTGGTGGCGGCGAACGAGTTTGGATACGGAGAACCCAGCGCAGCTTCTGTAGCTATCTCAGGTTGGTAAACTGCATTTAGTGTTTCCTTGGAAAGTTGGGGAAGTCTTTATTGGTGGAAGATTCACATCTGGGCAGTTGAGTAGAAGAACAGACACAAGCAGGAAACCTAGAGTGATTTTTGCGGGGGGTGAGTAGGCTTTTTTAATCTGAGGAACAGGGTACGGTAAAGTTAAAGATTCCCTTGAATCCAACTTGATTTCTGGTTCCTGTGTGGACACATCCATGGTTTTTTCTCAGCAACAATACAGAAGTAATTTGCATTGTCTTCTGAGATGTTTTTATTCCAGATTCTACAACCCTGGGATCTTCTTCTCATCTCCCATCCAAGTATTACCCAACTCCAACCCTGCTCAGCTTTTTTAAGGTCAGCAAAGCTGGCTATGTCCTGCGACTGGAGCAGGATATACCCCTGCATATATTTTGACTGGGGGCAAGACTTTAGAAGAGAAACCCCTCCACCCCACCCAGAACATCTATTTTGGTGGTACGTTTCACAGCTTCCTCCTGGCAGCAACTGGTATCTCCCTGCAAAATGCCCTGCTCAAATCTTGCTTTATATTAGCTGAGAATCTCTTTTCAGCTTGCTTCGGAGAGGCATTTCTCAGACTGGTTTTGCTGCTTCAGCAAGGGGGGGGGGGGTATTTCTAAAAAAAAACAACTTCATAGTTCAAAACTGTTGCACCTGAGGAGGCATCCAAACAGTTTTGCAGACCCAGGAAATGTTCTTCTTTTCTCATCTCTCGCTGCTGCTGCTGCTGCTGCTGCTGCTGCTGCTGCTGCTGCAGGTTGCATAAGCAGAACTAGCAAGAGGATAATCAAAAGTGGCAGTAGATGCCACCATCATCATAACTGTAACCTTCATTTCCTTCTTTGTCCATGAATAGTTTACATTTGGCCCTCTAAGAGGGGAGGGGAGCTCCCATTCAGAGCCCATCTCTTGCTTCCCACAAGGAAAAGTGGACAAGGGGGTTAGATGTGACATGATGACATTTTACTCCAGTTGCAATAATCTGGTGCGTCCTTTAACCCAGCTCTTGTTCTCCACAGCCAATAATTCCGAGTTGGTTTGCATGTTCTCTGCTTGAGCAGAGCTATTTAATGCTATGTAGCAATGCTTCCTACAGATTAGCTCTGGAAAAGGAAATCACTTGAATTGGAAACCCCCAGAATAAGGGACACAAAGCACAGTGGCTTCCAGTTGTCTAGGAGAGCAACCACTTTCAGTTATCAATTAAGCCAACCCCGAGCATCGCCCGTTATTTCCACAGCCACAATTTAGTTTAGAGGTTGATTCTTTGTTCCTCGTCAGATTCTTTGAAAGGCATCAGAAACTGGATTTCATAAAACAAGAAGCCTGAGTGAAATATGCTTCTTGGTCGCGTTCTTGTTGGAGGTGACCTGCATTGAATTTGCAGATGGAGATGCAGGAATTCTCATCTGGAGGTAGCAGACAAACCCTTGGAGCAGGAAAATATAGCTCTCTTGCTCTTCCAGCACCCATTGCATAAGTGTTTGTTTGACGTATTTGGAGTTTTGCTTCCCTAAAATCATCTTTTCTTTTCCGCTTCTAGTATGCTTTGTGGAAACAGTGTGTTTGCCAACTTGAGAAGAAGGCCATAAGTCAATACCATACCTTAGCCCAGTTCAGACATTACAGGAAGCCGTTGCTCCCTCTTATGGAAGAGAACTTTGGACCCATGTGCACCCTCCCACTGCTTTCTATTCTCAACTAACTATTCTCCTTCATGACATCTAAGTTTATGTGTTAAATCCTGCCTCGTTCTCAAGGGGTCACCACTTACACCTGGCTGGAACATTGTAAATCTTCTTTATGACAATTGCATGAGAAAACACTGTTGAGGGCAGGAAGAAAATTGCCAAACACCTTCTGTAGGTTTATGGGGGAGTAGTCCTTGTTGACTTTGTCAAAAGGATGATGTTCTTATTACATACATACTTATTTATTATACAAAAAAGTGCATCTGGCTTCTTTGTGATTCCTCTTTGTTTCTTGAAATGGTGTTTATGGCTGCTCATTCGCTACTTTGTGAAACACTGAACAGCTGAAGTAGATCAGGAACTCCATTAGTTAAAAGCAGATGTTTTCAGGGTCCACCCTTCCTCTATTTATTTATAGAGATCCCTGGTGAGGTCGCATGGCATCTCTATGAGTCCCTCCCCATTCTTGCCCTTTAAAATAAATTCACGTTTTCAAAGGAAAGAAACAGATGCCTAAATGAGGTGAGTTGGGGTAAAATGTGTGTCCCAGAGCTGATCCCTAAACCTTGTCGGTCCTTCTTCCCTACAGCTCACGCAGGATCTCCTTTCTATGAAGAATGGTGGTTCTTGCTTGTGATGGCGCTCTGCAGCTTCATTCTCATCCTGCTGGTCGTCTTTGCGCTGATCTTGCACAACCAGACTAAGAAGTACCGAGACAGCAACGCAGGTGGGATATCCTCTCCTTTCCCCATGCCTTGGGCCCTTCAGCCTGTGTGACAAACTGGAAAATAACATTTCCTGGTGAAATCAGAGGCTTGAGAGCCAATGGGTTAAAACAGTGTTTCTCAGCCTTGGCCACTTTAAGATGTGCGGATTTCAACCCCCAGAATTCCCCAGCCAGCAGCCATGGGAATTCTGGGAGTTGAAGTCCATCCATCTTCAAGTCGCCGGGGTTGAAAAACACTGATCTAATTCAAATCCACATTCGTGGTTATGACCTAACGTATATTACAAAGCCATCGGTTCTCGTCTGCTGCATTTGGTGTTTTGATATGTGACAAAACGCTTGTGCCTCCTGGCAGTGCCCCATGTCTGGTCCCACCCCCAGCCTGACACAATACTTTCGTCCTGAGTTTTATCAGATGAAATTCTGTAGCCTTCATTGAGTATCCTTGTCTTGGGCGCCCACTCCCGAATGCCTGAGTTATCCTCACTGCAGGCTGAAGTGCCTGTTGAAAATCGGGACTCCCTGGGGGACATTCTTAGTCCCCAAGTGCCCTTAAGAATAAGGTCTTCTCTCCCGCCCGTCTGCAAACCCAGACTCTTCGCCTGTCTCAGGGGGAGCTTAAATATTTATAGCTCAGCCCCCGAACTCTGTTTTCAGAGCTTTGCAAATCAATTTTTTGCCCTTTCTGCCTGAGACACAAAGTCCTTTCAAAAGCTGCCAATAGCATATGCCACTTCAATAACCTGTGTCTGTCTGTGTGACAGGCATATTAACTCTTTGAGGCTGGAAAACAAGAGGTCCCCCCCACAGAACTTAGAATAAGCAAGCAGCAAACAAAGGGGTCCTACTGGCCACCATGATGTGACACAGAAGGTACAAGGTTTTGTGCCGAGCGTTTGTATATGTAAGAGATAAAGACCCAGCAAGGAAAACTTTCTTCAGAAGACTCCACAATTCACAGCCAAAGATTTATATTCTCCCATTCCCTCCCTGCCCCCTGCCCCCCCCCCACAAGTATAAATTCAATTCTAACAAGTGTTAGTAAATCAGGTTTTATTCCTCTGGGATTTGAAATGTTTGAATGCCATGGCATTTTATCGAGCTAATGCTATTTTAAATTCCTCTGCGCAATGCACAGACAGCTCTCTTTGGAGGACAGACATGAAAGGGCAGGTTTGACCTCCACCTTTTGCAGAGTCTTTGTGTGGTATGGCAGCAGAAGTTGGGCGGGAACTGTTTTCCTGAAGCAGGGGAAGTTGATGGCGGACCACAGATGGGAATGCTCCTTAACAGAATGGGAGCCAAGCCCTAACCAGTCCTTTGGGTTTATATTACAGAACGGAGACCAGAAGTCTTAGGCACATCTTATAAGTTTCAGAGCACCCATGCAGGATCCTGAAAGCAAACGTGGTGCTTGTGATCAGGCTGGGAAAACCCAGGTTTTGTAGATATGCGGTCGTAATAAGAGAGACCCCTTTCCAGCAGGCCACCTAGAGCATTTAGGAGTCCTTCCAAACAGATGGTTTCCTGGTGCACCTTTTTATTTTTCCTCTTCAATGGATGTTTTTTGGAAAGGAAAAAGGTGGGAACAACGATGGGCAAGGCAAGAGGAAGTTGCTAGAACATTACACCAATGACCACCTAGAAACGGTGTCCTTAAAGAATGTTTTAGTGGTCAGGATTCCACTGTGTGTGTGTGTGTTTTAATCTTAGCACCCCTTCCCCAAGGGAAAACCTCCCAGGGATATTGAGTGTCAACTCCTGCAAGCCATTATCTTAATACTGTATTGCAATGTGATCTCTTGGCATAGGAGTTCACACAATGGATAGGGACATAGAGGCGAACTCTGCCTAATGCAAACAGTGTACCTTTCTTAGGCACAAGGCCCACTGAATACAAGCAAGGCTTACTTCCAAAAAGATGTGCAGTTGCAGTGTTAAGCTACTGTGTTGGGTGCATTAACATTTTCAGGGAGGGAGACCTTTTCTCTCTATGACCCACAGAGAGAATGGTCTGAATGGGATGATCACCTGAATCACCTGTATGGGAAAATGGGTCGTACCACCTCAGGCTGCAAAGGTGGGGTGTCTTTTTCAATAGTTTCCTACATTAGAAATCAAAAACCTCCCTGGAAGTTAAAGGTGCATTAGGGAGAAAATTCTAGTCTAGTTTTCAGTTTACAGGACAGTATTTAAAAAAACAAAAGTATGTTCAAAAATATAATCGTGCTCATCCTCTCTGAAAGGAGCTCATGAATTGTTCCTCTGTCTGTAGATGTTCTGCTAAGCCTTTCTCACTCCAGCTTGCCTCATATTCACCATGTTTGATTCCCAATGAATTTAGTGGAAGTAATTTCTCAGTGAACACCAACAGATTCAGGCTGCAATGTTGTAATCCTAAAGTTACTTCCTTGGGGACAAATCTCACTGAAATCAATAGAGCTTTTCTTTTAAGCTGCCTTGAATGGGGCTATATGTGATTTGAAAGTATATTTTGGGTACTTGGGACACCTGAGGTGAAATGACCTGCTAAGGCTGAAAACATCAGTGCTTAATCTTTGCTTTACATTGTGCTCCAGATATCTCTGTTAGATGAAGAAATCTGTATGTTGATCAGAAAGGGGTTATTTCCCTCTCCCACCCCACCAAAAAGGCCCAAACGAATGAGAAACACCTACTGTATAAAAGAAAAAGAAAACAAACTACTGAAGTTCCCTCAATAAAAGTTAAAACTTGGATATCATTTGTAAAAATGCTTGCAGTACTCTAATAACTGTAACAATTTGCAGGACAAGGTGTCCTACCGTCTCCTAGTGCTTATGTTTAAAAAAAATAGTTATCTCAAAAATGGTGGTTCTTTCTCTGTTTTCACACAGAGCCAGAGAAGGGCCTACGCCTTCGCTCATTCTGTCGCCATTTGTCCCCAGGAAAAAATGCATCCAACGTGGAGGAATCTGTCACTCTGGATAATGGGGGGTTTACATCTCTGGAACTCAACAGCCGGCACCTCAATGTCAAAAACACTTTCTTGAAGAAGAATGGGACAAGGTAAGGTGGCACCAGCCCCACCCAGAATCCAGGCACACACACAACACAAAATCTGGAGCAGGACAGGATCAGCTATGCATATTCCCTTGGAAGGGTGGGAGGAAAAAAAACCAAGACTGTAAGCTCTGGAGCATAGGTACATGTGAAGGCTAATCTAATCTATCTGAGTCGCATCTGAGAGTCTTCTGTCAGGTCAAGACAAGTGCTGACTCAGGAGTTAAGTGTCTGGAGAGCTATGATTGACCACTACCCTCTGATGTGAAGTCTGATTCATGTTGTATCAGAGCATGATAATGTGTTGAGCTTAAGCTGTTTTTAATTTTCCCATCAAGATATTCAATATCTGGCCAGCTCTGTGAAGTTTGGTGAATCACCTGAATTGGTCTACAAAGGCATAGAAGGACACAGGTCTCTATTATGACACATTGTCCACATAGTCTTGCAGTAGCATTGGAAAGCTTGATTGCATAACATTTATAACATGCAGAAGCATAAATATAAATGAAGTTAAGGCATTTGGGAAAAAAATCAGAGCAACATTCATGAGGCTTGTTCATCTAACTTCAGATTTGGCGATTTCTCTCTGCAGAAATATTTTTGGGGGTGCATATATATATGGTTGACACTTGCAAATACCTTATTTTTTAGAAATGAACAGAATGTCCCTCACAGCTTTTATTGTAACAGACACTTTATATAGAGATAGATGGTGGTGGATGTGTTCTATCTATCTGACAGAATCAAAAGCCACCCCAAAGTTAATTTTATTTTCTTTAATGGATCCAGATCGCCACCTCGTCCAAGCCCTGGAGGTCTACATTATTCTGATGAGGACATCTGCAATAAGTACAATGGAGCTGTGCTGGCAGAGAGCATCGCCCTCACTGAGAAACCCTTGGATGCTTCAGAATCAGAAGTGAGTTGATAGCTCAGCTGTGGTTGGAGGAACCCTGTTAAGATAGCACAGTGAAGGTTTGCCTGGGATTACTACTGCGGTAGACAGGTTGCATCAGGAAATGGAGAAGTGGGATAGACAGACAAGAGGGAGGTGGGTAAAGATAAAGGGGAAATCTATCTACAGCTTGCTAGAATTTCACGGAAGTTAGGACAAAAGGTCCTAGCAGCCTTTACGCTCTCTTGAGAAAGAAAGGGACCCAAACTAAGAAGCAAAACAGTCAAAAGATCTACTAAGTAAGAATTATGAAAGCATCATTAACAGAAAGATTGTGCTATTCTGTGCTCAACTGGGCCATGGATTTGTATCTAACCAATAATTGTTTCAGGGGAACCCGTAACTATGGAAATATTTCACCCTTTATTCTTTTAGTGCCTAGCATGGCCCTCTAGCACACACCAACCCTTGCTGAGTCAGACTACTTTCCATAATGTTTCTGACAGCAGATCATCTAGTTTGCATTAAAAGGGCTATTCAGTCAAAATTAGACATTCCACAGCAAATAGAGGATTTTATAACTAGCAGAGCAAAAGCACCCAGGGAGACGTGATCCAAATGCACGTATCACAGTGAAAACAAATCGGTGGAGAACACCTTGGATAGAATTTGCCTGAAGCTGGAGACCAGTGAATGCTTGCAAGCAACCATTTCTTTTTTATAGGGCTGCCACGTCTGGGCTGCACAGCAAGGACTAGAGTTAAGTGCTTTTGGTATCTCTCAGAATCACCCAAATTTTCTTGCAGCTGGTTTTTCTGGAGAACCTTGGCCAGGTACCTAGCCATAGTCCTCTACCCAAGCAAGCAGGGGTCATTCCTTTCTGCTCCCTCTGTTTCTACCGGAAGGAGCCATAACAGGGAGAACCAAGGGGGATCTTTCTATTGTCAAGTTTGGAAGCTTCACTGTTGTCTCCTTTCTATTCCAACTTTAATCCATTTTTCCGTGTAACACAATATTATCTTGAAAGCCTCAAGTTGACAAGGCAGGCTGACCCCTCCCTTCTCAAGACAATGCCTGCATTTCTATCTCCGGATCTGAAATGCCAGGTTGTGAAAGGGAAATGCAATCAATCAGCGTGAATGTCAGAGGCATGTTGATTAGGGACCCCCTGCTTCGCACTCGTGCAGAGAAGATCCTCCTGGGCTGAAGCTCTTGGAGAGAAAGACTTTGACAGGTTAGGACATCACAGGCTCTCTGCGATCCCTCCTCCTGGTTTCACCTGGAAAGACCTTTCCGTCAAATAAAGAACTGACTCAATTGAAATTGGGGGGAGAAGGGCCTATAGTTTGTCAGATTCCTCCCTGACTCTGCTGCTGTTACCCACAATATTGAGCAAAGTTGATGGTTATTAGTATATATCCCTGGCTCACAGGGCCAAGAATGTTATATGCATTCTTTTGAGTTTTGCCTCTGTCCCAAATTAGATAGTGTTAGTGACACTGAGAACAGTTTGTTCAACCTTGCAAAATACCCCAACTAAGACTCTTGCCGTAGCAAAGTCTCCCTCTATAGCAAAAAAAAAAAAAAAATTGAACAATTTGCCCCCACACTTTCCTTTTGTTTTCAATCCTGGAGGGGGGCAGCAAAGTCTTGCGAAATTGTCCCCTTCCTTTGCTCTGTCTCCCCCAATTAAACTGTCTTAGAAGACTGAAAGGGGAGGAATGAAGAAGATCAGCCATGCGAACAGGGAGCATTCTACCTTTTCCTGCTCCCTGGGCTTCAAGGTGCCTTCGGTATTCTGAAAAAGCTGTTTTTGGCATGGCAGATATTATAGGCCCAGAGGAATCCTGGGCTTTTCTTAAGATGGGATACTTTGGAAGCATTTTCACAGCACTCCAATTTTTGACGAAGAAAATGAATCGCTTGGGAGCACTTGAGACAAGGCCGGGCATCCAAAATATGTAATCCCTGAGGATGTGAACAGTTATACAAGGAACAGGTCCAAGCCTGAAGAAAGGAGAATGAAGAAAGAAAGAAACTTGGAAACTCTGGTTCCTCTGATGGACTGAAACATATAGACCCTGTTCCAAAGCAGAAGACCTTGAGGAAGGCAAAAAGGGAACGCTCGCTTTCTGAGCCTAATTGTCAACCGCCTCTGGGTTGTTCTTACAACTGAGCGTGAGACGTAGCAGCAGCAGCAGTATTTATGGGAGATCGAAGCAGGGAGGCAGTGTTTTAAAGACTTTTTAAAAAGCCCCCATAAGGTGGGGGTCAATGTTGATACAAGCTGTGAAAAGCGGTGAGAAATGTAATTTACCACGGACCATCTTATGTTTAGATCAGCTTTTCTATCAGTTTAACTCGTTCCTGTCTTCCTTTCCAGATGTTTCCTAACATCTGATCAAACGTTATCCACAAGGGAAGTCAGAGAGAAGGAACGAGAGGAGGGTAACCTTCTCAGCCTCGTACCAGCACTTTGTGGCTTTTACTGAAATGCAGGGCAGCATTTGTCTGCCTTTTGTCTTCTCTTTCCTGCTGACGTTTGTGACTGGGAGAAGGCCCTTGCCGAGGGCCAGAGAGCAGCTGGGCTTGGGAGGGGACGCCAGGGTTAGCGTGCACCAAGAGAAACGTCTGGGGTGAGCTGCATCAGCTCTGTTGAAATCCTGTTAAGATCTAACTTGGCTAAGAAATCAGAGAAAGCAGCAGCAGTATCAAAAACATGACAAGCTTAACTCTTTGGCAAGGAGAATCGAGGAAGAACCAGGATCAGCAAAGGGGGCCGAGAGAGAAGATTAATTGTCTCCTCAGCCGTGTTTCTGCTGAGGCTTCCCTCATGGTCACCTGCCTTTCACCTCTTGTTAATTATCTCTGGCAGCCTGCTGCTTTCGGCTGCCCTCTGACCAAGCCGCTGGGGAGTGACAACATTCCTTGTTGTGCCATCTCCAGCCCGTCCCTGTGATGTCTGCACATTACCTTGCGATTACACTCACGGTGGCTGTGTCCTTCTCTCCGCGACACCCGGGAATTAAAACCTGCCATTACACAGTGCGCAGGGCATTAGTACAAATGTTGTTGGGTCATGTTTGTTATTCATGTCAGGAGTTCCACATGCCCGAGAAAGCATAATGCCCATCTCTTAGCCGAGGTGACTTCTGCAGGCAGAGCCAAGAGAGGCAGAGGTCACCAAAGTGTGTCTGTTCTCTCATTAGACCCTTTCCTTGTCCATGATGTCAAGGAAGCCGTAACCCAGAGCCCTCCTTGCAAGGAGCTCTGGCCCAAGCACGTTCCTGGTTTTGTGACATGCAAGATAACACCCACCCACCCCAATTATCTAGCCTGTCCCCGTTAGCTTTCCTTTTAAAAAAAATATTGGATCTTTTCATCCTGTTTTGGGGGGTGGGGGGGGAGGTGACTGGGTTGGAGCTGGTTTTTCTCCTCTTTTGGGGTATCAAGAGGGGGAGTGGACTTTTGCTTGCCCAAGGATTCCAATCCTTCCACCTTTCTGGGGGAAGGAGAGGATGCAGTGTGCAGTGAACTCACCGTCTCATTTCCAGCAGAGCTTGGCAGATGTTTTTCCTGGAGCAGCCAAACTTATTTCAGCTTGTCAGGCAGCAGTTTTTCTTCGATAGAACATTCGGTCTAGAAGATGTGATTGAGAGCCAGAATATTCAAGACCAGAATCTTCTTAATCTGCTTTTCCTTTAGATTTTAATCCTTTTTTGTAAAAAAAAAAAAAAAAGACCTCTGCTCCAAATAGGTACTTCTGTACACAGCCATGCCATGTGGAGCCTGGCTCCAAAATGTTAAAATGGCTGTTCACGGTCTCTTGGCCAGAATTACTCAGACACTGACCCAGAGGAGGGTGTAGAAAGCCGAGGACAGCAGGCAGACAGTTCAAATGCGCATCTCCCACCTGCCTCCCACTACCATTGTGTCTGCGTAATCCCAAACTCACGTGACTAGAATGCAAGTGCAAGGTCCAGGAAAAGGGATACCCGTGGGAGTCCATTTTTTTATACTCAAATTTGGCTACCTGCAGACCACGCCCCCCCAAATTCAATTGGAGGAGAAATTCCCACTACGGTTTGTTTAGAGAACGGAGACCACTCTCTGAATATGCAAACAGAAAGCTTTTATTGACAACAGCACTGAGTACAAGTGTCTTTCCAATTGCTACAGCAATAGCAAGCATCTTGCATAGTCTAGAACAAGTGCTGAAATAAAAATAGAAAGATCAAAGGATGGGAAGAGATGTCTGCATCTGGCGCCAGTTTCTAATATTCTTTTCCTCCCTTTCACTATCCGAAGAAAACTGTTAGTCCTTCTACCTGAGAAGGGCAGAGGGATGGATCCAAGGGTAGAGATGGGTCAACTTTAGCTCAACATGGCGTACCTTAGGCTAGCTTGAGAATCCTCACTTCACAATGTACTTTTAATCTGAGACTATTAGTGCTTGTCCATGTTGTATTTTAAAGGGCATGGGTAGGAAACTAGATCTAAATCACCTCCCTGTTTTGTAGCTTTTAGAGTGGGACTGGACCTGTTTTTTTAAAGAAAGACTGTGATGCAAATAGGCATATATAAATATCTTGGTGGAGAGTCAAAAGGTGGTGAGAGCTGTCTGTCGTTTTAGTGGAATTATAATTCGTCTAATTTTGCTTATTTGGGGCAGATGGACGAGTTCCAAGACAAACTTGGACTTCCTGTATTTACTAGTGAGGTGAAGAAAATATTTGCTCAGGGAAAAGGTAAATCGAAAAGTCCCTAATCAGATCTCTCTAGTCCATGCTTGGAAACTGAAATAAGTCTGAATTGACAGGACTTGCATGGAGGGAGGGTTTCCCAAGGCAGGCAGCAGGATTGACATTGGACAGCATTCCCCTACCTACCTCTTTGCTCCTTCAATTTCCCACCTCCCCACCATATCGAGATAATCAGGTTGAAACCACGTGCAAAAGATGTGTATCAAGTTCTGCCCCAAACCCAGCCTCGATCCCTTTCAAGTTGTCCTCCTGTCAAGTCGGTGGTGGGCAAACATTTTGGATACCCTCCAAGAAGAATTTTAATGAGGTTAAGCCAATCGCATCAATAATGCTTGTTTCTGTCAAGTAGAGAGAGTACAGATGGGGGAACGCTGGCGGAGAGAGGGAAAGAAATCTCATTAATATTATTATTAAAGATCATACGTGTCTAGCCGCACACTGCATACCATAAAGCCTGTTCCCTAAAATTCATTCTTCCACAGTTCCATCCCTCTAGACCTCCTAAGAGCATTGACCCGAAAACAAATCCATTTGGGGCTGATTAAGAACCCAAATGCCTTGCCTTTAGTCCACGCTGGAATGGCCAAACTACCCGAATCTTGCATTTTTAGGTGTCACGAATCCCTGGAATTATAGAATTTATCAGTCCTAGGAAGGGAAAGGCTGAAGGAAGGAGGTGGAAGCAAACCAAGGTAGACTGTTTTCCTTCTGTTGCCTTTCGAAAGGACTCAAACATACACAGCCGTGGCCCCTCCTGCAATTGCAAATAAAAGTACCCCACTCCTTTTTTCAGGCTGTTTCCAGCAGAAACTTGACAGCTGCAATGCTTTTGAAATTCCCTATAATGCCAGCCTTAAGCGAACCTAGCCCAGGGCGCGCCAATTTGTCTCCCTGCAGCCTTTGTTTCTTCCACCTGACCAATAAAAATACTTGAAATTGTTAGGCATTTTCTCTATTTTGTGGCTTCCCAGGCATCGGTACACCTTTGCTGGTCAATTTCCAATCTACCTGAGCGTCCAATCAAATGCCAGGCTGCTGCTGTTGCCCTGGCAACCGCTGGGCGGCTGCCACGGTGGGCCTTGCTGCACCGCAGAGACAAAGCGGCCTGCAGCATTTCCACTTCGTCAATAGTTTGAAGTCATTAAAAGGAACGCGCTCCTTCCGAGACGTCAGCCAGGTGTGGAGGCCGTTTGGGTAACAACGGGGGGCTGCGGGGGAAAGAAAATTTGGAGAGGCTCAGGTTCACAGCACAGCGATCAGAGCAAGCCTAGTCTTTGGAGCTGGTAGTTGCTAACCAGTCTGCTCTTCGCAAGCCCCAGGGGAGATGGTAGACCCATCTCCATCCTCACCCATTTGGGTTTTCCCACCTTCCCCTGGGAAGGGGGCCACATACTGTGACCCCAGAAGGCTCTTTTCTGCTCCTGGTTTCTGTTTGAAGCCAAGAAGGACATCCTTGGCTTATAAAAGCTTCTGTTCTCAAGACGCTTCCATGTGGTTGACCGTTCCTCAAGGGTAACTTGCTACTGAATGGGGAGGTAACCCCCTGGTAAGCTGGTAATCTGCAGAGCCTTCCTTTTCTTATTGGATTATTGATCCCACTCCCCCTTTCAGACAAAGCTTTGGCAGTGTGTTTCTTTTTAGTAATAGCATGGAGATGTAACGAGAAAGAAGAAGGGGAAGACGTCGTAAACTGGCTAGATTTAGCCTCTTAGGTGGCTGGGTTTCTCTTGGAATGCTGCTCGATATAAAAATAGACATTCCTAATCAGAATGGGACTCATTACTCCAGTGCTGGCATTTCCCTGCTGTGCATGTAAACTAAACAGAGGCAGAGTTGCAAGCCCCAGCAGATACTGGCTTTAACATCCTCTACGCTCCCGTTGGCTTTGGAGAACAGCTGAGCAGGCTGACTTTACAAAAGGGGCGGGGGGATTACGGACACCCACTTTTCCATTAGCTCTTTTCAGGGAGCTGTAATTCCTAATTTGCATGCTGGTTTCCCCCTCTCCCCGGCCCCCAGTTTGCCTGCTTTTCTTACCTAGTGGACCTCCATTCACTGCTGAAAGCTCTATGTAGGAGTTCTCATTATACGAGCAGCTGCATAGTGAAAATTGATTTTATGCATTTCAAACCGTATCTTCCAGATTTAGAGTTCTCAAATGTGTTTTTAACAACAGATAAAATAGAGAATGTCACACTTAAATATAATAAATTAAGCCCCCTGGACTGCCCAAATGCCACTCTAAAGGACGACTATATAACAAAAGTTATATAGTCTAATCCAGGGGGGATTAGAGCTGGCCCCATGGGTTGGTTTTGGATACTGTTATAAGAGAGCAGAGAAACCAAGCTAAGATCTAACCACTGGACACAAGCTCTTGAGGATTTTTTAAAATTTTGGTGGGGGGAGCAAATCAAAAGGGTTTAGAGATGATATCTTATGACAGAACACCTTTTAAAAGATAAATGAGACTCAAAGTGGATGCTCATACAGATTCCTCTTGAAACAGCAAAGATGGGAACCGGGTTCCAGAGAAGGTGTCTCCTTAAATATTTCTCTGGTCAGTCCAGTTGGATGGATCGGTTTCCTTGGGGAAAGGTTGTGGTTCTTCTTAGAATGTGTATAAGTCTGTTGAGATCTATCTACTGCAAACAAAAATGACATTCAGCTCAGTGTGGTGAACATCCTGATCCACATCTGGGAGAGGTTTGAAGAAGACCAACACAAGGTGGAATAAACAAAGCACTCTGTTTCCTGCCACAGTGAAGGTAAGGCATGGCGCCTCTTTTTATCATGTGCCTACAGATTTCTGCAGCGTGCTGTCTCGAATCCTGCACATAAAATGTGATTTTGCGGGGAATAAAGTATTTCACCTTCTTCTCTGCAGGCTGAAGTGGAGCTGTCCCTTGGTCCTCTGCCCTACAGTCTAGTGATTAAAAATAGTGACAATCACCTGGATATTAACCGATCCTTTCTCTCTAAAACCACAGGGGACAGATTCCGACTATGAAGACGAGTTGCCAAAGCATTCTTTTGTCAACCATTATATGAGCGATCCCACCTACTACAATTCATGGAAACGCCAGCAAAAGGGCACAAAGCATTCAACGCCTTACAGGTATGAGGAACGTGTAGTGAGTGAGACAGAACCTTACTTCCAGACTGTTATCACAACACAGAGCTCAGGAGGGGTCTACACCCCAACAGGACAGCCCGCTCCAGGCTCACGGACTCCAGTGACAGGGTTCTCTTCTTTCGTCTGACACCCGGAGAAAGAGCGCTGACCTCAACTCAGTGGCCTGCCACGTTTGGGTCAAGACCACCCCATCCAGGTGTGACTCTGGGCAGGATAGATGCAGTGAACTGGGGGTATATTTCTCTTATCAGGGTAGAATGGATGTAAATGTGAATGTCTTTTTTTTTTCAAGACAATCAACACTTTAAGACATGGAGCTGATGACGTTGAGTTTGCTTTGATTTTTTTTTTCCTTTGAAAACCCCATAAATGATCAAAACCTGACCATTTTAACCACTTTGGAGTATGATTTAAAAGAATTTTTTTAAAATAAAAATATGCTTTTGTAATGTTGTCTGGGTTTTCTTTCCCCTACCCCTTTTCCTTTCGCTAGCCAAGGAAGTCAATTCCATTCTTTTGAATTAGGCAGCGGTAATGTAAATGAAGGTGACTCCAGGTTGTCTCCCAAAGATTCTCCCTACCTCTGATCAAGCAGAGTAATACGTCACACAAAAATGAAGGAAGAACTATTTTTAGGGATGGTTCTCTCCCCTTGCTGCTTACTTTGTTGTACCATCTTGAGCACTTAATTTTCAGTTCCACGTCCCTTCTGTTACCTGCAAAGTTCATCCTTGCAGTTTATGATCACCTTTCTCTTGTCTTCTATTTCGGTTCTTCTCCACCAGGACTTGCTGCTTTCCTAAAACCATTATCCCCTCTGCTGGCTTTTGGCAAGATGGATTAGTGCAAAAGCACCATGGATAACGTTTGGTAAAAGCTGCTGAAGAAAGACCCTTTTGAAGTGGCTCAGCTGTGCCTTAACTCCTGGTCCTTGTGGACTGCAGGTTCTAATGTCCATCATAAGCTTAAGTGGGGGGAGAAGAACAGTCCTTTAACAAAGGCGGCATTTATGAGCGAGTTGGATGAGACTTCCAAGGTTTTCAAAGGGGATTTTGAATTTAAAAGAAACCTAATCCCTTACCTCAGCTTTGCTACACTTACCATATTTTGTCTTACAATTCTTTAAAAATAAGGAAGGGAAGACTGCATTTTTTATATATCACCTGTGTTAATTTTTTTTAAATGTGCTCATTTTTAAAATAGGAAGATGTCATAACCAGCTGCATTACCTTTTTTCGAAAAACGGGGTGTCCGACAGATGTCTTTTTGCAAGATTGTTCAGCTGCATACTTGAACAAAGCAGCTAGGAATCTCTGAACAAAACTGAAATGGCTTTTGAAACCAAGGGATTACAAATGATCACCTGCACATTTGATACATGCTCTCTCTCAATGCTGTGGCTCCCAGTCCTTTCCATGTGAGGCTTTTGGTTTTCCCCTGTTGTGAGCTGCCCCGCTTATGACTCCAAAGGATGCAACAGCCCCTTCCCGTCAGGTCCCAATTATATGGTGGTCCATTGTCCTCCACATCTGAAGGAACTTGCTCACCCCAAGAGGTTGCTGTAAACTATTTCGGTGCTAGCATTGCTACCTGCCTCGGTTTGCTCTGGAATACACATTCAGACATAACAACTGACCTGGTTTTCTTGGGGAGCTACCAGAGAACCCACCCTTGCAATTTCTATTCATTGTGTGGGGCCCAGCAGAAAATAGAGTAGTAGTGCTGTTAAGCCATTCTTGTTCTTTTCAGTGCCTCTCCCTGCACAGCTGGTGGGAACTCTACATCCTACAGCCATGAAATAAAGAGATATTTGCCACTTGAGAGATCTAGATAAAGCATCCTTCTGACAACAAGGGTACGTATTGTCATGGGCATGGTTTTCCAAGTTGTGACAAGACTATGGAAGTTGGACTGCTAGAAAGGCTAAAGGAATTAAAATTGATGCCTTTGAATTGAGACTGGAAAAACAGCTGGGAATAGCTTGGACCGCAAGAAGGGTGAATCATTCAGCAGTAGTTAAATTAAAGCAGGCTGGTCCGTGGAAGCATGAATTGTGATGGTTATGCTTAAATCTTTTGAACATAATGCAAAAGCAAGTATCACTGGAGAAGATCTTAATGTTTAGAAAAAAATCAAGGGCAATTGAAAAAAGAAGCCAACAGAAGAAAAGATGGTGAGATACTCTCAGTGGTGGCACGAACAAGCTTACGAGAACTCAAAAGAAGCAGCTTCTAACAGACCATCCTAGCAAAATGAGATCCATTGGATCACAAACATGCAGAAGCAACTGAATGACTGAACAATAACCAAGGAATGGCATTAGCACTGGCTTGTCAATGCTGCTTTTTCATTTCAGGCAACTTGATGACTTGAGAGCAATCTCCGTACGCTTCCATGCAGCCATCAGCTTCTTGTCTTCACCCCACTGTGCAAGCATCTCTTTGGCCTCAGTAGATGATGACGTGGGAGGAAGAAATGGCCTTCTGGGTGGCCAGTGCAGACTGAGAAAACCTGGGCTCCAACCAGTGCCTTCTCATTATTTCTTTGGGACTGTAGGTGGGAGTTCCTACCAACAGGAAACACCAAACCATGGATCTCCAGAGAAAATGCCCTCCTCTGTTTCAGGCCCTTGAGCCCGAGGCTTAGCGTCCCAACCCCACAGCAGGTGTGAAAGGGGCCTCTGTGTGAGGCAAAAATGTATATGTGAATGACCGCCAGGCAGATTATCTACATGTCCTGGTCACCGCAGTGCAAAAACATCCCACTAACTCTGTGCTTAGGATATGTCCTCATAAGGAGGCCCCCATCTCTTGGCTGGTTTCTTGCTGGGCAGGCTGAAACTGGTCCAAGGTGTCCCAGTATGAAAGTAATGTTTTCCCAACTATTGCAGCAGAAGACCTCCATGTGGACATTCTTCTGGGCTCCAATTGGCCTATGGCTGGACAGCCTCCTTCCATCCTGCTATTGGGCTTTGCACCAGCATGGCCACACTTGCTGTGCACTGGACACCTCACTGGCCCAGCCTGTTTCTTCTAATTTTTGTTGTTTGGACATGGGCATGGTGACCTGATGAAAGGAGAAGACTCCCCTGACATCAGGACAAGACTATGGAGGCTCCTAGGGTATTTCTGTGGATAGAACATATTTAAAAGTGATATGATTTCCAACTCCCTGAAGAAGAGAAGTGGCTCTTCCTTGTTTGGAGCTGGCCACTTGGGGGAGAACTCTGCACATATGGAATTGTTTTTCCCAGCATAGGTTTTGAAGAGGAGAATCAAGCTCTGCTCTAAAAGTGACCCACATCTCTGTGGGAAAAGGTAAGCTGTGGGGGTAATGTTTTTTCTATCAGAATACTTTTCTCCAGTTTCAACTATGGGAGGAAAGTAAACAAACATGTCTGTGTGGATGAATCCCCTGGTACTTCCCCATTCAAATACCCAGATTGGGAAGGAGTTGCATTTAATTGCCTATTCAGTCATGTGGGAAGGGTCCCTCAAGTTACTCCCGAAAAGAGGCTTCCTAGGTGCTACCATGTAAGAACGAGAGCCTTCTTGCTGATTTCCTTTCTGCTGAAGACCATTCAAAATGTCATAAGCCAGAAATCACAGGAGCTGGAACTGCAAAATCTGAACAGAAACAAATAGCCTCCAGTCCTGTGATAGCTATAGTTCAAGATTTCAAAACTGGCTTTTTGGGTCACAGATGTAAAGAGTATACAGGGAGATCAATCAGTCAAGGGCAAAGGTCCTTTTCTCATGATTGAATGAAGCTGATCAGAAGGGATGCAAGAAACAAAGAATGAACATGGAGAGAAGTTGCAATTTCTCTTAGCTCTTCAGCCTTAGCTCCCCATGCCTTAGAGATGTGGGCTTAATGATCCCATTGTGAATATTGTGTGCACATGGGGGACAGTTGGATCCACTTGATGGGTCTTAATTAAGTTGTGTATTTTTATAAGAAATTACAACACTTGATCCCAGAATTCTGCTGGTGTTCAGAGCTGAACAGGTAAGTGTAATTATTTCACTGTACTGATTGGCTGAACAAGACCTACTGGAGCAAAACACTGGTTCTGGGATGGACAGTGAGAAGGAAAGGACTTTCTTTGAAAGGTCTTCTGATCACATGTTGGGCCAGAGTGGTTTTCAGTTCTACAGCTAAGCCCAGAATCCTTTCACATATAATTTCACTCCTGGTCCTCTTTTTTTCCAACCAGCCTTAGTTAAAAGGGAGAGAAAAATGTGCTGTCACTATCATTAAATAATAGGGAAGGGAGGCAGATCCCCTGTTCTCAGATCACAATCTTCCTTCTGCGTGCTCTGTATTATACTCCAAGAAGTATCACGGATGATTTAAGAGCTTACTAGGTTTACTGCTTTGCAAATACTGTAGGTCACTGTGCCCCAACTAGGCTCCCCTTTGCTAAAATAGACATGTGGGCTTAACTTCTCTGCAAAAGAAAAAATAGGAATTACTCAGGAAATACCCAGTCTACCATTCTGGCTCTTTACAATATCATGGCAATGGAAGCTCTCAATGTTCTGTCATCTGACCTTAGTTTTTGGAATGCTGAATATGCTGGTCCTCCTAGAAGAAACACTGGATACTTAAGGGCCATCTATAAACAGGCACAAAATCAGTACCACTCAGGCATGATATGTCTGTAAACCCAACGGGGGACACCAACTCTTTCTGTCCAGTGCCAGCTGGGAACGTATGGTCTCCCTGGATAACAGACTTTTTGGGTTGGGGTGAAAAGCAAGCGTGCTGGGGAAGAGCATGGCTAACAGACACACTGACAAGAGAACGCTTCGTTGCGTATCTCACCTGCTTTTTCCATAAGGTATTGGTTTAGGTCAATCAGCATGCAGAACCATGCTGGCACCAAAAAACTAAGCACAAGGAGGTGTGGTTAATGGTTGGTTGGTTGGTTGGTTAGTTGGTTGGTTAGTTGGCTGGTTGGTTGGTTGGTTGATCATATTTATCTAGCCGTCCATCCACCAAGGAATTCCCAGGCTGTGGGCTAGACTGGGAGGTTGAAAAAATAGAAGAAGACAATGGCCCACCAATTCTTTTTTGCAGCCAAGAATGCTACATGGATGCGTCACCAGGAGTGGAGTTCAATTTGAAGATGTTCTTTTTTACGTCAACCTGAATTAAAGACCAAGCCATGCAGCTCTACCAGTTAGCTGAGCTCCCACTTTTCTTCAAGCAAATCGTTTAGAAAGAATGGTGGGCGAAAAAAGAAATGAACTTTTAACGGTCACCATTTCCCCAAAGAGAGAATTGGTAATGGAAAGAGGTTATGCCTCTTTCTGAGAGCGTTTTCCCAAAATAAGAGGAATTGCTTTAGAAAGCATTCCGTTCTTCTGTTTGCCTTTCAAATGGAAGTTATCAAAGGTGATTCTTTTAAAGCTCGTTG